TGCAATTGCTAGCTAAATGCCCATGCTTCTCAACGCCTTAATATTTTATAAAAGCCAGTCATTATCATTATGATTGTTATTGCTGTCAACGGTTATGCAATCCCCCACAAGCGACTCGGCCAACCGCCTGGCGCTTAGCTATTGGAAATGCCACACAATCAGTCGATGCATTGATTTCCCAGAGACCGGAATTATAGACCATGTGGGCTAGAGACACAACAAAAGGAAAATCGTTGGCTCACATTGTTGTTGTTGTTGCTATTGCTGTCACACAGCTGCGCCACCATTTCTTATTCAAATTGTTGGCCAAAGAAAAAGTCTCACGCGCTCATGTCATAAAATAAAATAGAAATAAAAAAAAAATGCCGAAACATACAAAAAATCAGCTTCGTTGCTGCCATCCACAAGTGTGGCTTAGATTTAAGTTTGTTGTTGTTGCTGTTGTTGGTGTTGTTGTTGACACTTGGCTGGCTTTTATTACGTCACGACTCCGCAATCCATTTGACAAATTTATTTTTATTAAAAGCAATTTCTTTGAAAGCGTCGACATGAATTGAATTTCTCTTGATTGAGTTGTTTTTTAAGTGCCTCCCTTATCATCGAGGGGGTTGCTTGGGCTATGTTAATAGACCAATAAGTGATTTTTACCATCTATAATCTGTGCCTTACCAACTTGACAAAGCGTATGAACAAGTCTATAAGATATGAGTCAGCTGAATAGCTGCATTTCAAAATAGGGAATACTAGTATAAATAGGGACTAGTATCAAATAGAAAATACTACTTATACACCATTTAAGTTTCCATATAACTGCAGACAAACATAAATCTTTTTGAAGTCAACTGGGGTCACAATATTTAAAAATCATTAAGAACTCACTTGTTGGCACCCAACGGCAGCATTATACATGGGTATTTTATATTTCCGCATATATCAATATAGCGGTATATAAGAAACTATACATATTTACATATGTTTTTATCCTATACAAAATAATACAATCATATTATATTTATTGATGATCTTTGAGCTATTAAAAGTTTCTATGTATCTGACAGTTTTTACATACATTTTGCCTTTTTTTACCCATTATCTATTGAATTCAATACTTAAAACATAATGTTGAATAAAATAATTTAAAATGAATGGAGAGGCAATAGACAGATAAAAATTGTTATTATATTACCATGCAATATAATATATCATTTAAATATTGCATTATAAAAATGTAAATTATAGATTTATAGATAGATATATTATATCATTCAAATATTGCATTATAAAAATGTAAATTACTGATATTAAGGTATCTTTCTAGTCTAGCACAAAAGATTAATATGTTTATTATTATTTGCCATTTCATGTGCAATATAAGCCGCAACAGCTTTTGCGAATGCTTTCATATTTTCTTTCGTCGAAAAGAAAACAGCAGCAGAAAATACGACAGTAAAAAAAATATTTTAAATACATATTTCAATGGCTTGCTAGAAGATACCCTACACCCTAAACGCTTTCGACTGATTTTATCATTACTAATTTACCAATGGCCACATAATATTGTATGATTCTAATGATGTGTTCTTAAACAATAATCTAATTTAGTTCTCTGGCCTTTAAGTTTACAAATTAAGCTTGGAATGAAATCATAGCAATCAAAGATGATCATATAGACGACGTCAGACTAATCGATTATACAAGAATCTTATATACGAATCTCTATAGTCCCGTAAGCCTCTTTTGTCTACCATTGGAATAAAATGATAATACCCATCTTAACTAATTATCAATAGGTACTGTTTGCATAAAGAGCAGCAAAGCAAAAACCGAATCGGGCTGATTAATGCAAAGCGCGGCAGTTGGCACAACTTGTCACAGATTCCATTAGGTCATCGCCGTATTTGCATATGTTCGCAGAATCAAAATATTTACGCCGTGCGTCGCCGCAGCTAAGAATACCCGTGCAGAAAATAGACTCAAATTGGGAGCTGGGAGCTACATGCTGTGCGGTGCTGAGAACTGGGAACAGGTATCAGCTGTTGGCCAATTATGCGAACACAATCGCCGCAATCTTGTGGGAAAAGCAAAGAAAGTTGCGCAGGTGGCGACGCAACTGCCCAACAGCGACTTTTCTTAACCCGAACTCACCGCGGAGACGCAGGAAAATTGGCAATCATTTGTAAACAATGTGCGAAGCGAGTCATGACAGGGTGCGGCGGGACGGGGGCGCGGCCAGGCATACACAGCCCGTATATCTATCTGTCTATTGACTGCTCAGCGTGGTCAGAAATAAGAAATAAGAAATACGCGCCGSGTGACCCACTTTCAAGTTGTGTTTTTGTCTGCTTTTTGTGTGTACTGTTGCCGTTTGTTCCACGTTTCACGCTACTGCTATACAAACATAAATATACACAAATATATGTATATCTACTAAATATATATATGTATATGTATACATATCGCACTCACTGTGTCGAGTTTCTTTCAGCGCAACAAGTTTTTAGGCAAATTAGCAGCCAACAGCTGCAAGAATTATCGACGGCGCTCATTGAAAGTTGATTAACCACTTGCCAACTACTTGAGGCCAGAACTTTGCCAATTCGAGCAACTACAATATGCTCCTCTTGGTGCCCATTAACAATGGGAAAACCAGACAAATGCTCTTGGCCAAATGTGTGCAAACAGGCGAATTCGACCCGAAAATCCCCATCGATTTAGTGCCATTTATCTGTCCGTCAGCCTCTCAGATCATTCGTCGGTATATTTGCTTGAGACTCTCGCCAGCAATTGGTGATTTAAGACATTGAAATGAAAGTAATCGAAATCAGTAGATATACTTAAATATGGCTTAACAGAAATACGGCTTTAAAGAAAAGTTCTCATAAGAAATATATATATATAGAACATATATAAACAGCTGAATTAATGCAGACTTATCTCTCTATCCATACATCTGTTAGAGACCAAGTCAACCTTTTAAGCTTGAATTGTATTGATTGGTATTGTCTTTCAATTTTTTTTAATTCTTTATTTTAGTTTATTTATTTATTTTGTATTTATATATATAAATATGTATTTGTATACCGATTAGTTTTCGTTTTTCGTGTTTCAAAATAAAGTTATGATAATACATATGAATAAATCGT